GCCGGGGGGGGGGGGGGCAGGGCCATTTTGGCCAATCAAGGGTGGATGGCTGCTTGGCTGGGGTTGGCTGGACTCTGCTTTCTTTGGGAACCTGCAGGCATGAAAGAGTGTCCCCAGACTGCTGGTCTCAGCCAGTGCAGGCAGGCTCTGAGCCCCTTCCACCGAACAGCAAATGTCTGTTCTGTTCTCTCCTGTCCAAATCTAGAGCACTTTCAGTAAAGTGCGATACTTAGAGTACTTCTGCCTCCGGCTTTTTGCATGTCTGTACTTAGCCATAGATTACATAGGTATAATTTACTAGATTCTGGTTTATGTTAAATAAAAACAAGTAAATTCCTGGTCCTTACGGTGGCTGAGGTTTGTAAATGAGACCCAGGTGCACCATAGTGTCTCAGAAACCAGAAGGCAATGAAAATAAAAGTTAAATTTATTATTAAAATAAATCTTGATAAGTTCTACGCTAATCTCATGACTTCTGGGAGCCTGATGCAAGCTTTGTGTTAGCAATACTGTAATCAAAAATCATGATTAAACAAAAGCTGGTCTTGTTGCTTTGAGAGAAGCTGAACCCCCCATTTATATGATATCCTATTGTTACTTCACTATTCTTCAGGTGCTTCAGATACTTCCCTCTCCCCCGAGCCAAAAAAACCTGTAGACAAGGAGAAAGCCTAGGGATCTACATGGGTTTGTGGAGATATTGCATCCATTCCCAGATAAGCTGTTGACCTACTAAGTAACCTGGGGCAAGACATTTTTGGGCTCTGTTTCCACTTCCTTTGTGTTTGTCTACTTCAACTGTAACTACTTTAGAGCAGAGTTTGTCGCATATGTTTACAGTGTCTAATACATTGATGCCCCTTGGAGCAACTGTAATACATCTAATAAGACTCTGAGTCTCTTGCAAACTCATGTTCACACCTACAAGTAACACCAAGCAGAAGGGCTTTGCCATTTTAAATTAAACCTACAAGACTGAAGAAAGAGCCTCATAAATATTTGTTTTCTAGGTTAAATAAATGGGCCATGGGGCCTCAGATACCATTTTGTTAAGACACAGCTGGGTAGCAACAGTTTTTAAGAGGTATGACAAAATACAGTCCCAACAGACATACACTAGTAGACAGAGAATTGAGAGAGACGCTGGCCATGTCTACAAATATATTTAACTGCAGGGTAGACTAATTTGCTACAGAGTAATCATCACCATCTACATGTGCAATGATGTTAGGCTACAGTAAACTAATTAATGCTGAAATTACACCAAGGTAATTTACTGCGACTAAACTCACATGTAGATGCTGGTCACATGTGTAAATTGTGCTCAGTCAGCCCAGCCAGCAGGGGGCCAGACTTCTACCTGCTGCCTAGCCATAAAGCTCCGGACTTTCAGCACCCTCACGTCCAACCCAACCACTCTGCCACCCAACGCTGCCATCCAGACCCCCAGCACCGCTAGCCAACCTGGGCCTGCTCTTCCCCAGCTCAAATGGCTGCCATCCCGGGTGCACATATAGATGCTGTACACGGGAGTAGTTTACTGCAGCTAAGACAGCTCCAGAGTGTATTGCTTTGAATTAATTGCATGTATAGATGCACCCAATAGGTGCGTCTACATGTGCAATTAATGCAAATGAAACTCCAGCACAATTTGAGCTGGAGTAAACTACTCCAGACATCACCATCTACATGTGCATTTAAGCACAGTAATTTACTCTGCCATCGAATAGTACTTGTGTCTGACCGTACTATCTGACAGCACAGTAAATTAATCTATGCCAACCTAATTGCCATGCATGTGTAGATGATGATGCTTTACTGCTCAGCAAATTAATCTACTTCACGGTTAAGTACATGTGTAAATAAGCCCACTAAGAGCAATTCCTTTAGAAGGTGTAAAATTTCATGTTTTAACTTTTTCTGCTGAAAATGCTGGTTGGTAACTAAGAGTGATGTGATAGGAAGTCTATGTAAGACTCAGATCAGTACTGAGATGAGGAGACATACATCTTATGCTCCAATGTAAATATCCACGTGGGAGAGGTGTAACATACAAAGAGAATGGATGCCAAAGTGAAATGCTAAGGTGAAATCCTTGGTTCATGCTAGTTAAGAGGGGTTTTGACATTGACTTCAATGGAGTCACGGTCAGGGCGGCTAGGGTCTGGAACCAGCTTCCAAGTAAGGTGGTACAGGCTCCCACCCTGGGGGTTTTTAAGAGGAGGTTGGATGACCACCTTACTGGGGTCGTTTGACCCCAGTACTCTTTCCTGCCATGGCAGGGGGTCGGACTAGATGATCTGCTCAGGTCCCTTCCGACCCTAGAAACTATGAAACTATGAGTCAGAATATCAACAGCCATTGAAAGTTAAACAAAACAAAGCAAGCATGATTTGTTTCCACCTCTCTCAGTCTCATTTTCTCCATTAGTAACACATAGATGATGATACTTTTCCATCTTTGTGGAAACAATGTCTGGTCAATCATCAGTTGGCCAAATGGATCATAAGTGTCATTAAGCAAAATTGCCATATGAACACATCAGCAGTTGTATCTGAAATTATCCATTGAAAAACAGGTACATGGCTAATAAGACCAGAGAAAAATATTCAGCAATGTCTGAACATCAGTGATCAACAAAAAAACCGACCTATGAGAGGGTGGTAAACCCTCAAATGTCTTTATAAACTTTCCCAGCCATGGAACTCTTAGCATAATAACCTGGCATAAGGCATATACAACATTTAGCGCCTCTTCTGAGGACACAAGTGAGACTTAAATGGCATATAAAATGGATGCAGACAAAAGTGGCAATTTTTGCCTGATAGAAAGTGGTCTATAGCCATAACCAAACAGAAGTGCATGGCTGCATACTGCTTCAAAAATGGCCGATTGCATGAAAATCTGAACCCTCACTGAATGCATTAGGGTTTCAGATGAAGATGTTTCAAAACAATGTCTCCTGCAACTTGTGTCTGCCTATCTGCCAGCCTCTGAGCTGTTTTCAGAATGGGAGGGGGAAAAGGGAGGGGAGGGAGCTTGGTCTGGGTTTTTGCAATCCAGATGGAGGGAGCGGCTGGGGTATTGAAGCTCCCCCAAGATGGGGGACTCCTATTCACCCAACCACCCTCCAGCGCTGGCTAGGGAACCCCTAGAATGAGCTCCCTCTGCTCCCTTTCTCCCCTCCCATTCTGAAAACATGGAGGAGGGGGTCGTTGCTCCGGGAAGCTGGCTGCAGGCTCATAGCCAACAGCTAGATTTCCCTCTTCCCTGGACCTAACAGTGACCTTCTGTTTGGTGCAGGGAGTTGCTGTAACTCAGAACACTTCCTGTGAAGCCTTCTGTGTTGCAGCAGGGAGCCGCACTTCAGTCTGCACAGGCATAATTATTGCCTGTAACATCCATACAGGGCTCAGTTTCACTCTTGCTGACTTCTTTCCATTTTGGGCATGTGCCAACTGATTTATTATTGTAGTGTTGCTTGCAACTGCTAGGAGTTAGCCTTGTATTATTTAGAGCAATCAGAAAGCTTGAGTATAGTCTCTGTCTCAGTACGTATGTGTATGTATACTCATATTTACATACACATCCATATGTAAATCTACATGCATACATGAAGCAGACCAGATCCAAATTCCAGTAAGGTCAATAAAAAGACTGCTGGTAACTTCAGTGGACTTTGAACCAGAGCCATATTTGCGTATATCCAGGCAAATCCTGACGTTATTTCCCCCAAAGACTCACTTTTTTTGTGCATGAATTTGTTTCTAGCAAATCTGTCTTACTTTTAAGTTGGATTTTGCTGCCACTTACGAACTTTGGCCTGGTTTTAAGAGAGGCTGAGCTCCACTAATGCATGTTGACTTCAGATCAAGATGTTTTTGCTCAGCATCAGACTCCGACTGAATTCAAATGGCTCAAATGTTTGCAGAGAGCAAATCTGAGTGCTGCACATACTTCTGTAAGCTGAATTTAATGTTTGCCTGCATGCTAAACTAATCTGTGAATGGAAACAATGCCTTGTGATTCTTCTGACTAATCACAGTTTACCCACACACTGGAAAAGCAAATGCTGGCTAGTCCCAGGAAGACGTTCATGATCTAAACAGTTACAAAAGTACAAGAATTAGCAGTCAGTAACTTCAGATAAAGAAGTAAATACTGCCCTGCTTCTATAGACAGTAGGGGCCAGTATTGGTCCCAGGGGCTGGGGTACTGGAGCCTGAGTCTGGAGATCTGGGCTGCATTTGAGGACCTACCAGTGAGTTATGTGACTTATTTATGTTGCTTCTTCCTCAGTGCTTCAACTTCCCAATCTAGAAAATACTATGTTTTAATCTGGATTCTGACAATTAATGTAATGCTTAAAGCAGTAGCTCATCAGGGACAGGATAACCAAGCACACTGTTTTGGAAAGATGATATTTAAGTGGATAAGAGAGAGGTCTGTCTTGTAAGAGAGACACATTTCCAAAGGTAACAGGGATACCTTACTTTTTTGGGTGCTCGGCGTGAAACATCACATTTTGCGTTAAGAGCTACAGAAGAAAAGAATCAAGTTTTATTAAATGGGGGTTTATTATTCATTCACTTTTAGTTTATAGAGGGGGAAGACAATGAAGAATATGTGCTCTACACGGTTCTTGCAGACAGAGGAAGACAAAGCTAGTGCAGACTTTGGTTTGAGCTCCCTTTGACACTTCCACATTGAGATTCAACATAATTTTAATCTACCTCATTTCTTACAGTGGTGTCAGATCTGTGTGCCACGGGAGATCACGACTGTGAGCAGATCTGTGTCAGCACACCAGGGTCCTACAAGTGTGCTTGTAAAGAAGGCTTCACCCTGAACAGTGATGGAAAAACCTGCAGTGGTAAATAATGTTTTCAAGCCCGGCATGAAGTTGAGTGTGAACTTTATGACAGGGTGCTGGATTATTCCACCAGCAACACTGCCCTGCTCAGAAAAGTGATAGGATGAAAGCATAGCAGAATGACGGTACCTACATCTCATACTACGGGTTGCTCACCACTGAGAATCAGAAGAGTAGCTCTCCCATCGCAGAGCCAGATCTAAAATCCATTGAAGTAATTCCTAAGATTAGGCTCTTAGACTGCTGGTCCCAAGATGGGACAGATGAAATCTCAGGTCTGATTGGCCTGTTGGTCTGAGCCTTAGCTTTAGGTGCCAGAACTAATGAAGCAAGAGACTCGTTTGGGATTCTCTGCTGAAAATGTATGGGATTGGGAGGTGCAAGAGTCCGAGGTTTAGGTAAGCATTTGTTTGCCTCTTGCTTCTGAATTAAACACTTTTTATGGGGCATGACGTCAAAAAACACTGTGCCAAATTCAAAAATAAAAGGTAGTGAGTGGCAGGAGGATGCAGCAAGCCAAGAACTGTGGCTAAAGGCCCAAACAGGAAATGTTGCAGTAAAATTGCCTTCTGTCTTATCTGATGGAGGAAAATCCTGCCCTGTTCAGCATTTCTCACTGCACAGGACAGCCACACAATAAGCCATACCACTGAAGTTCTCATGGGAGTTTCCAGAATGGTGTGAAGCAATGATTTTTCAATTCATTTAGTTTTGAAAACTAATTTTAAAACTAATTTTGGGTTGACTCAAAGGGAAACCTTTTTTGAAATTGTTGGCAAACCAAAGTATTGCTTCGGATTTTTAAAAAAGTTACTCTGATTTGACTGTTGTTTAATTTTTCCTTTTGAAATACAATATAAGGAATTTTGAAACCAAAAGGGTTTTTTGAATTTTAAAATTAAAATCTTCCATTTAAAATATTTGGAAACTTTCTTGTTTTTATTTTTTGCTCACTGGCACAAAATCTGTAGTTTCAAAAAAAAAAAAATGTAAATGTTGAGCTAAAAATTCTCTCCAGACGTAGTTGAGGGTATAAACTTTGCAAAGGTGGCATTGAGCATCGACCAGATGGGTAATGTCATTCCAGACTTCTGCCCAAAGTACCTGAACCTTCCTACCTATACGTTCCACTTCCAAGTATTTGATCTCTTTGCCTTTCAGCACATACCCTATCCCAGGGGCGGGCAATTATTTTGGGTGGAGGGCCGCTTACTGAGTGTTGGCAAGCCATTGAGGGCCGCGCAGCCAGGGGCAGATAAATGTTAATTTTCTCAATTTTTAGGGGCCCCGTGGGCCTAATAGAATGGCCTGGTGGGCCGCATCTGGCCCGCAGACTGCATTTGGCCCACCCCTGCCCTATCCCATGCTTGGGTGGCCATGATGAGGTGTCTAAAATGACCTGCCAAAGAAACATGAGAAAGAGTCCCCCAGGGACTGCTTCCTATTAGATTTTGTGGGACAGGCTCTGATTAGTTTTGGGGGGTCTCTGCCATTCAGGAAACAAAGAGACTTTCTGTACCAGTTTCAGTCACTTTATGGCCTCTAGGATTTCCAGCAGAGCAAAACATTTTGATATGTGGACTATATCCAAAGTTGTCTTTTTTTTTTCTTTATCCTGGCCATTGCCTGCTGGAACAAGAGATGTACTGAAATGGACTGGGGGCTGTGAACTCAGTCATCTGAAACAAGGAGACAGTCAGTAGCCAAGCTGGGAACAGAACCCAGCTGATTAAACCTACCTCTGGCTGTATCGGTGCAACCTTCGTTGCCGAGCCGAGGAAAAAACATTTGGCCACAGGAATTCTGCCTAACCCTGAGCTCCTGGGATCCAATCACTCCCTCACAAAAGATGCATTTTGTGAGTCAAGGTTTGGGGAAGTCCCATGACACCAATAGAAATTAAACCTATGACGCCCATCATTAAAATTCCCTAGTGCTTACAAATTAAAATGTTCTTGTGCCATGCATTACCCTAAGCTCAAATCACCCGCCTCATGCAAAGCCTGGGAGGACACTTTACAACACCTCCCAAGGTCAGTTAATACCACTCACTAAGATCCTAGAGAGGATTAATGAATTAATATTGTAACAATACTTTGTGATATAGAGGTGAATGGCCCTGTGAGTCCATCTATGAAATTCAAGCCCTGTTAGTTTTAGAGTTAACTGAATGCTTGTAAACAACATTTGCTTTTATCAGCTGCTCCCCCCTGCTCCCCCCCAACCTCATTGTTTTTGCTAAAAGTTTCTGGTTACATACACACACACACATCTCTATCTAAAAACATTTAATAAAAAATATGAGGCAGGGGGTAGCAGCTGATAAAAGCAAATCTTGTTTGAAACACACGCTTCTCATTTTTGAAAACTGTTTTTTAAACTTCTTTTTGTAAAAATGACCACAACAACTTTTAAAAATGAGAAAATAAAAACATTAAAAACAGCTGTCTTTTTTTGACCAACCCTTTATATGTTGCCATTAATAAAGTCCCTCTGCAGCTAGCCTCCTGTCTAGTTAACTGGTCCCTGAGCTTTTCACATTCAACTTTTGCCCTCTCTCTTTTCTCTCCAGCATGCAGTGGGGGTGGAGGAGCCGCCCTTGATCTTGTTTTCCTGATTGATGGCTCGAAGAGTGTACGACCAGAAAACTTTGAGCTGGTGAAGAAGTTCATCAACCAGATTGTGGACTCATTGGAAGTGTCAGATACACTTGCCCATGTTGGCCTGGTTCAATACTCTAGTTCGGTCAGACAGGAGTTCCCTCTGGGGCGGTACAACAACAAGAAGGATATCAAGACAGCAGTGAAAAGGATGGCCTACATGGAGAAAGGAACCATGACAGGCCAAGCTCTGAAATACCTCGTTGACAATTCCTTTGCTGTCTCTAATGGAGCAAGGCCTGGTGTCCCCAAGGTGGGCATTGTCTTCACTGATGGACGGTCACAAGATTACATCACTGATGCTTCCAAGAAAGCGAAGGAGCTAGGTAGGCCCCCCAAAATTCATGTGATTGTTTTCTCTTTGGGTTAAATACTCTGTCTGGTGCTGGTTCATCTATAGTTGTGATGAAGTCATAAATGGTGCCATTGGATTGATAATCCCAGAAAACAAAGTCCTTCATTCATTATAAAACATGGGCAGCAATAGAGCCAAGTTTCCCATACTTTGCTTCTACTCTACCCAGAGGCTTCTATACTGACCGAGAGGGTTTCTATTTTCTACATTCAGTGGGGTAGCTCGGGCTGGGAGTTGGACCGGGGACATTCCATCTAATGTCTAATTCCATGTGTGGCATAAAAACCTCACCCTATGGTTTTTCTTCCAAGTGAAACACCGGTCTCTCAGCTGAGGCTTTCAACAAAGGAGGCAATTAGTTTATGCAAGGATGGAGATGTTGCATGTGAACCTTTCAATTGTGTGTGAGCCTTTTCAACCCTCTTCCTTCTCCTGTCCTGGCCTTATATTTGTAATAAAACAGAGACATAGATAGCTATCTTAGTCTGAGTCAAGTAGAAGTCAGGGTAGATTTGAATTTTACAAACTAACCGAAGTAGATATACATATGAAGCTCACTTCATCTGATATGCTACACACACACACACACACACACGCACACGCACGCACGCACGCACGCACGCACGCACATACACACTCTTGGATAGTCTATGTGGTTCAAATCTAGCCTGGCTTCTATTTGTAATAAAAGTAATTTTCATCATGACTTCCCTTCCTGATAAGGAAAGAGAGAGCATCTCTGAGCTTGCGATGAGCAACATGGCTCAGGTTGCACAGTCAGGTAGAACTATAGATCATGGCATCTCAGCATTAAGGACCATAAAAAGAAAAGAGTATCAAGGGAATAAACAAAATAGTAGGGCTGTGCGAAGCTTCAGGTCCTGATTCGATACGGAGGAGATTTGGCCAGATTCGGTGGCTGAATCTCCAAATTCAAATCGAATCAGAGGACCAATTAAAAGGTCCGAACTGATTCAAAGCTCTCCAAATCTTTGGAAAAGATTCGGAGAGCTCTGATGATTCAGACAGTCCCTAGTGGCTGCAGCATGGAGCTGCAGCCAGACTTGGAGCTGGTAAGTAGGGAAAAGGGAGGGGACCATGGAAGGACCCTGCCAGCCCCAGCCCCTCCATGCTTTTCCAGCCCCCCTGACCCCTGCCCACTCCCCAGCCCCTCCATGGCTGCCCCACCCACCCCAGCTCTAAAAAAAAGCCCTGACTCACCAGGTGCTGCTGGGTGGGAGGCGATCCCTGCTTCCCCCCACTGTCCCATGCTGCATGAGGGGCTCTACACGAGCCCCCCCAATGCCTCCCCAACACCCTCAGCTCCCCACTTCCCCATGGCTGCCCTGCCTGCTGCGGCTCCAGCCCTTTAAGAAAAAAAAATGGAGAAAAACCCCAGGATGCACCACTCCTGCAGCAGCCTTGGGGCTTCAGGGGGTTCATGGAAGAGCTACCCACATGGCATGGGGCAGTGGGGGGCAGTGGGCATCGCCCCCCACGAGGCAGGAACCAGTAAGTGTGGGGGTTTTCTCATGTTTTTTTTTTCCTTAAAAGGCCGGAGCCATGGCAGGCAGGGCAGCCATGGGGGGACTGGGACAGAGGGGAGGCTCGGGGGGCTCACGGCAGAGCCCCCCATGCAGCGTGGGGCAGTGGGGATCGCCCCCCACCTGGCAGCACCCAGTCAGTCGGGACTTTTTTTTTTCCAAGTGCTGGGAGCTGGGGCAGATAGGGCAACCATTGCCGGGCTGAGGGGACGGGCCTGGCTGATCCGGCCCAATCGATTCGGGACAGTGATTCAAATCACCAGATTGAATCGCTGTCCCCTGAATCAGCCAAATCTGAAGTGAATACTAGCCACTTTGCACAGGCCTACAAAATAGCATCACAGGTGAAGGGGCAAACTATTTTTTTGCAAGAAGATACAGGGAACCTTTTTCTTACACCCCAACCCTTTATCCCGAGTCCTTTAATACAACCAAACTATATAGTTACAAACCAAAACACCCCTGTACAAGGACTTTGTGCCGTCATTGAATCCAAGTTAAAACCCCCAATTGACCTGAAACAGAATTTAAGTGATGGCTGGGCCATGTGCTGGCCTCTTCCCACATGGGCAAGTTCCAACAGAATACACTCAACCTCAACAAACCTTTGCTATTAGTCACATGTGATGGGGGATAGGCAGGGAACCCCTTTTCCACTTCCAGTGAGGGTTTATAACTAAAATAAAAATAAACATTTAAAAAATCTTGAAGCTTAAGTGTCTGGAGAGATGCCCCTTTTGCTAGCCTACTAATGAGCACGTTCCTCGTATCCCTTCTTTACTGCATGAAACGGACGCAGCCCTTGTGGATCTGCTTGTGAATTGCTAAATCTTTCACCTCCTTGCATCATTTGTTATGACCACTGGACCTGTTTGAGGGCCTGGGTATAATAATAGAGATCAAACACAAGGGCACAAATAACTGACATTTCAGAAGCATGTTTATCATGCACATGGGGTGTAAAGCACAGAATGCATTAAGCTAGTATTTAAAAGCCTCATCCACATAATAGTAGTATGTGAATCACTGATTTATGTTGTATTTGCATTCTTTTTCTTTTCTCTATCACCAGTTCTTAAACAAGTACTTACAGGGGAAAAATACCCTAGAGGCAATCTCAGATACAAATCCAGAGCTGAGTTTTCCTAGTTACAGGGATTTTAGTTTTTAATTTTAGCTTTCTCTTGGCTTTCTGAGACAGCTCAAGGGGGGCTCTCATCGTTCGCATGGCATGTCTACAGGATGTGTGTTTTTTATTCAGTGGGCTGTAACAGCTTCCATTTCACATGATCCTATAGCTGGGGAATTTGACAGCACTGTAACTGCATGCCCAGACAGCGTGGGTGTTCTCAAGTGATCTCCTTTGAACATGTGGTACTATTACAGCCACAACCCCATACACTTGGGGGACACCTATGCTGAACATCAAAGGGCTGAGGCATATGTTGATTGTGGTAAAGGCAGGGAAGGATGTACAAGTTGGTTACATTTCTGCAGCTGTTCCAGGGCAGAAAATGGCAGCAGGGTTAACAATCCTTGTTGTTTGCAGGGTTTAGGATGTTCGCTGTGGGAGTGGGCAATGCTGTGGAAGACGAATTAAGGGAAATCGCTTCAGAGCCTGTGGCAGAACACTACTTCTACACTGCTGATTTCAAAGCCATCAACAAGATCGGGAAGAAACTGCAGAAGAAAATCTGTGTTGGTGAGTAAGGAAAGAATGTGGGAGCCTATTTACAGTGATGGGAATTAGACACAAAACCCCCCCTCATTCTATAAGCAGAGAAGCAAATATGCACTTGGTCCATGAGGTGTCTACCTTCACTTAAGGCAAAAAGTGCTGGAAATCTTCTCTCCCTTGCTTTCCACCCCAAGTGTGTACCCTACAGCTCTGTAGAGTCCCCAGACTGGTCATGTCAGAAGCCAAACTTCTTGTGTTGATCTATTCTTGTGTTTATCTGAACCAGAGCAACCCTCTCTCTTGTGCTTTCAAATGTGCTTCACTTTCTTTCTTTCATCCATGGCAATCGTTCCCCTGAATGCATCAGAAGGTATCTAGAAGCAGTGGGAGATATAGATATCATTTTCTTCCATGTAAGGTGTTTTCCCTGATCTACCGGGCCTCCTGAAAACCAAGGAGGCCGTTTTCCTTCAAAGAAGCACCAGGAAGATGCAATATTTTGTGGCTCTGAGGAGGCCATTCCTCTTGTATGACTGATAATCATAAGTGACTTTTCCCAGCCAATAAAGCGGGTTTCTGGGCAAAATTGTATCCAAGTTGTTTGGGGGGAATTATAAGTCAGTCCAAAACATGGAGCCTTTGAAGGGAAGAATAAGCAGGGGTTCCTGAAGAATGACTGTAGCACTTGGTATCATCCCTTCAACTCAGCAGACCCCACTGTACTGCAGTGAACAAATGGCTGGGTTTCCAGATGTTTGAGCAATGTAGTATTAGCTCTCAATATATTAGAAAGCTACAATGAAAGGCTCTTCCTAACACTGTAACAATTTGGCATTTTCTTTCCAAAACCAGTTGTATAGGCCTGTGCTGATTTATACTATTACTAGGAAAATATGTTTTCATTGGTGTAGAGACCTAGTGAGCACAAAGCTGTGAATAAACTGGTTCAAACCCCAGGGATCTCTACCGAGGTACAGTCTACAACAGGGGCGGGCAATTATTTCGGGTGGAGGGCTACTGACAGAGTTTTGGCAAACCATGACAGGCAGCCAGGGGCAGATAAATATTAATTTTCTAAATTTTTCAGGGGCCCTGCGGGCCAGATAGAATGGCCTGGTAGGCTGCATCTGGCCCGCAGACCACATTTTGCCCACCCCTGGTCTACAAGCCCTGTGAGAGCCAGAGCCTCAGAGTGAGACACGATGTGCATTTGCAATATGCAGTAGCTGTAGAGATGATGTACCGCTTGGGTTGTCCAGACTAACTCTTACTGTAGGGATTCATTTTGTATTGCTGCAGATGCAAAAATGCAGCCATTCAAGTAACATTGTCACCTTTTTGCCAAAATGCAATGCAGTTCGTCTTGTTAATGTTGACAGATTAGCTGCAGCTGTTTCACTTCCATTCTTACCTCATGGAAACAGGATAGCCCAGTGGTTAGGGCCACCAGTTTGCAATCTGAAAGAACCACATTCAGGAGCCATGGGCAGACCTTTGAGCTACCTTCTGATTCCGAATGGAAGTTTGTTTGAGAACTGCACTTCTCTGATTATTAGAGACTTCACCTTTCCAACCTACATGTATTCATGGCTACTTTATACCTCTTTGTTTTTGTGTCAATATTCTCATCTAGTTTGAACAGTCATTTGTTCTATTTTGTATTTTACTCCACTGATGTATTTATAGACAGCAATCATATCCCCCTGGGCCTTTGTTCTGCCAGGCTAAACAAGTAAAGCTCTTTTAATCTTCTTCCATACGATCATTTTTCCATTTCTCTGATCCTCCTAGTAGCCCTCCTCTGCAGCTATTCAGTTTGATTTCATCTCTCTCAAATAGAAATGGCTCTTCCACTTAATCAGAATTATAAAGGTATGTTGGTAAATCATTAATGCAATATTAAAAGTTTACTAATACAGAGAGCTTGGCCTACATTACTAATGGAGCAAAACTCACTGCAGCTTTAACTATGGGACTGAAAATGGAACAAAGAAAAATAGACATTTCCTATCCAATAATGAAGGATACCTATTAGTTCTTGGGGTCCCAAGCTGAACTAATATTTAAATGGGGTTTTTTTAATATATATTTTCCCCATGGTATCACTACTAGCATGGGTGAGGGAAAACAGAGAGGAGAGGGACACTTCCATAGCTCCTTCCATCTCTCCCCTCCCAGTCATCTAGTATTTCATGTACCTAGCAGAGCAGTGGGCTGTGAGGAGAAGGGGCTCATGTCTTCAGGCACCTTGAGAATGGCGAGAAGACATTTGAAAGGAGGTAGAGCATGAGATCCTTGCCTAAGCCACCATCTTGCATCCCATTTTACTTAGTTCCCTACACACTTTGTCCCTACCAGGGTTGTGTTCTGTCCATATTTTCCTAACAAAGGGAGGACTAATAGTGCATGTGAGATCCTCCAGGTTTGACAGACCAAAAAGCCTCCTGACACGCACAGAGCACTGGCCTAGGTGAAGGTGCCCAATGCAATTTCCCGCAGGAACCCTGCAGACATCATTTTTGTGTCCCTCACCATGTCATATCTCCCTCCAAGGCACTAGCTCTCCTAGGGCTTGTTGGTTCTGCATCAACAAGGATATTCCTTCCATTTGCATCTGCTGACCTGTTGCAGAGTGAGAAGCTCACCACTGAGGTTGCTTTGGCCTCCTTCCGGGGTGCTCTCAGACCCCCTGAAGACTGAAGGCTTGAGAGCAGGTGCTAGGAGCAAGCCTAGAGTGGACATCCTGGTGAATGTCAAACTTAGGAGCATGCCAGCAGACACAGATGGGCTAGGCCTGGATGTCCTATCCTTCCTGGGACGTACCTACTAAAGTGGTATGGATGAGCCCCTTGTAGTATGAGTGAAGTAACTTGATGCAATCTCACCATTTGACTGTCTGAGTGTAGATTTTCTGTTTGTAATACAACGACTTTAAAATACTGCGTGGAATCAACGCCAAAGCTCAGGGAATGTTCTGTGTTATCCATGAGCAGAACCCACCGTTTATTTTTTTCCTGAAAATCAGAAAAGACTTTTCTGCTTAACCATACTCTTAGAAGCTTACAAATATATCAGGGGTGAACATCCCGGGCTAGGTGAGCAGCTATTCACCAAAGCTCCCTAGAGGGGAAACCAGGAGCAATGGTCATAAACTCCTAGAAGAAGATTTCAGACTGGATATAGGGAAAAGCTTCATGGCTTATGTTACCAGACTTTGGAATAGACTCCCAGCAGGGGTGGTGCAGGCTTCTACCCTGGAGATCTTCAAAAGGACACGGTTGCACACCTTGCTGGGGTTATTTGCTGCAGCAGTCATTCCTGCCCAGAGCAGGGGGCTTGGACTTGATGATCGCATGAGGTCCCTTCCAGCCCTAAACTTCTGTGAATCTGTGAAGTACATAGGACAATCATTAATTTGATAAGTAAAACTGGAATTTTCACAGTTCAGCATGTATAGAGCCAGCAAAATCTGTAACCCTCTGTTTAATTTAAGGTTAAACAAAGCAATACCCAGTCAGAGAATTTAGTAGGCTATCTTGATTTCCTCCATGCTTGTAGCTGAAGAAAATGGGCATTACCCTATTTCAGTTGCCTCATGATTTAAGTTTTGACTCTTTGTTGTTCCATCTTATGTTTGATTGATCTTCACTTTTGTTCTCTGGTCCACAGAGGAAGACCCGTGTGAATGTAAAGCCATTGTGAAGTTCCAGACAAAAGTAGAAGACCTCATAAAGTCATTGCAGCGGAAATATATCCTTTGGAAGCTGACCATGTCCAGAACATACAGGGTTGGGTTGCATTTTGTGGAGATAGCAAATTAGCAAGCCTCCTGACCAGAGAGAGGGTTCAGTTGGGAGACTGTAGGCTTCAACACACTTGAGTTCTATACAGACGCGTAACAAAAGGAGACAATCCCTGCCCTAGATAGCTCAACATCTGCATGTCTGACAGGACACAGGAAGAGAACAAGCCACACAAATTGGGCAGATAAGGGTGAGCCCCAAAGTAGCATTTGCTGTTCAAGTGTCAGCCGGTATGACTTGCAGGCACTTCAGAATAGATAAGCTTTAAGGTGGGATTTAAAGGAGGACACAGTGGAAGCTTTGTGGTTATTGCCAAAGAGTTTACCCCAAGCATGTAAGGTAAGATTTGCTGTCTGTTTAAGACCCAGATGCTATCAGGATCTCATGTAATTACTCAGTTACTCATGTAATTGATTCCTGCACCTGCTCAGCCAATGACAAGGCTACAGGTAATATCTGTGAGAGCACAAGGCTTATGCATTGTGCTTTAGAGGTCCTTCAATATACCCAGCAAGG